GATTTAATAGAAAGAATTTCCCATACAAAGATATATACTGACATAATTGAATTGAAGTTATAAAGTTAAACGAGGTTTGGATGCTATAATAGCAAGTTGCTAAATCATTAACCATGTAATTGGAGTTATTTTCGTGATACAATGATACATGAAGTTTAGCATTTTTCAAGATTGTATCACAAATGGTAAATACATATCATATTTCTCCACCAAAGTCATTATTTACTTTCTTTTAGGCTAGTTACTCTCTTAATATTCTCTTTCCAAAAATATAAAGATTTATATTCTTCATTTACCATAGTCATCACATACGTCAACATTGATCCTCTACAATGCATCAAACAATTCCATGACTAATTTTCATTTATAAATGCCTTAATTTTTTTTGAGTAATCATCCATAATCCCAAGCCCTAACTATGCAGAAGAGATATAAACATAATTCTAAATTGTGGAGTTATACTGTTATAGTTTCAGACCAATACATAAGAATTTTTTACATATTCTTCTCTCCATGGTTAATTATACATAGGTTCAACACACACACACACACACACACACACATTGTGTTTAAGTAAAAATTTAAAACTAAACCATGTGGTTGCCGACGACAACTTCCAAAAGGAAATCTAAGAATAATTCAAGAAGAGGAAATTAGCTCCCAAAAGAAAATATGAGAGAGGGTTGTAGACTCTAAAATTTTAGTGAGCTTTGGTTTTGACAAATGGACCCATGAAATATGGGCTTAATGTTTAATTAAGTTATTTAATTGGCCCAAACTTGGTCCACTTAAATTATTCAATTAGCCCAGCCCAGATGATTAAATAAAAAGATAATTATTCCCAATAAATTATATTTGGAATAATTATATTTAAGGATAATTATCATAATATAATCGGTCCGGCCCAGTTATGATTTTATCCTTATCAGGAGATGACATGTGTCATCATCCTATTAATCCAAGAAGCTTATAAATAGAGGCCTGGAGGAAGAAGGAAGGGGGACAAATTCAGAATCCAGAAGTCTAGAAATCCAGAGACTCAGAAATCCAGGACACACAAATTCAGAAATCTAGAAGGTCAAGAAATTCAGACACAAATTCAGAATTTAGAAGTCTGGAAATCCAGAGGCTCAGAAATTCAGACACAAATTCAAAATTCAGAAGTCCAGAAATCCAGAGACTCAGAAATTCAGACAAATCCAGAAATCCAGAATTCTAGAAAGAAATACAGAAACTCTGCCCAAAAGCGAAAAACACTAAGCACATCAAATCGTGCCGTTCTTTATCAAATTTCACGGTGATCAACAACAAGTATATCAAATCGTGTCGTTTTTCATCCAAATTTCACAGTGATTTAAGATCAAGCTCGTGCAGCCCTTGAATCCAACCAACAAAGGAGATCGAATTAGAGGATTTTATTCTTTGTAAAGAATACTACAGAGGATTGTACTCCAATTTTTCTAATTTAATAAAATATTATATTTGTTCCCTGTTTTGTTTTTATTCGCAGACAACAAAATTTGTGTGTATAAATTTCTGGCACGCCCAGTGGGACCTCCTCTGCCTCTCATCTCTTTCTTCTACATCAAATCCTCAACAAATTCATCGTTAGATTCTATGACTTCCAATAAGATTCAGACGAAGAGCAAGAATACTACTAAAGACATCGCGGTCATGACGGACAACATCAATACCATCACAAAAGATGGCAAGAAGGTTGCAACTTCGTCAAGTGGTACAAACACCTCTACAAGTTTAATGATGTGGAGCATGGTCAAATCATCCGTTCCTGCCAAAAGACAGCATGATGCGATGAGAGTCAATTCTGCCAAATTTATCAAAGTAACAACTCAAACTCATACCACCTTCACCTCGCTGGGGGCAAAGAGAAAGGTTTCTACAACCTCAAAGGTTGCTCCAGTCACAAGTTCAAGTTCCACCTCGCTGGGGGCAAGGAGGAAGGTTTTTATAACCTCAAAGGTTGCTACAGTCATAAGTTCAAGTTCAAGGCTGGTCCACCCAGGCTAAAGATTTTTTCTAACTCCATCACCATAATGATGAGTATTACCTTGTACGAAGAGCAATTGACGACTATGGCCCGTGCAATTGAAAGATTACAACACTCTCTCAAGGAGCAAGATCTGAAAATTGCCTCGCTGATAGAAAGTTAAAATTGTGTGACGACAATGCTGAGTCAAGCAAATGCCGAATTCCTCATTCTAATTCCGTGCCAGAGACTATTCCAATTGACAATCAAAATGATATGTCCGCTAATCCAACAATTGAAGCTGCCTCCGTCACCTCACTTTCTGTCCAACAACTTCAAGACATGATAATGAATTTCATAAGAGAACAATACAGTGGCGTTCCTCAAAGTGATCGCATGTACTCAAAGCCTTACACAGAAAGAATTGACATCTTAAAAATGTCGGTAGGGTATCAACCTCCAAAGCTTCAACAATTTGACCGAAAAAGGCAATCCTAAGCAACATATCGCACACTTTGTAGAAACTTGCGACAACGCTGGTACAAATAGAGATCGCCTTGTCAAGCAATTCGTTCGTTCCCTCAATGGGAATGCATTTGATTGGTACACAAACCTCAAAGCTAGAGGTATTGACAGTTGGGAGCAGATGGAACAAGAATCTTGGGACATGAAGTATCTTGGAACATGAAAAAACTGCAATCTTGGGACATGATGGAACAAGATTGACAGGACTTATCTTGGAACAAGAATCTTGGAACAAGAAAAAAAAGAAAGAAAGTGGATACTTCAAGTCCCACTTGAAAAAGGAGATAAGTCCTGTCAATCTTGGGACATGAAGTGGGGATAATTTGTAGACAATAAAATTTTAATGAGTTTTGGTTTTAACAAATGGACCCATGAAATATGGGCTTAATGTTTAATTAAGTTATTTAATTGACCCAAACTTGGTCCACTTAAATTATTCAATTAGCCCAGTCTAGATGATTAAATAAAACGATAATTATTCCTAATAAAATATATTTAGAATAATTATATTTAAGGATAATTATCATAATATAACCGACCCGGCCCAGTTATGATTTTATCCTTATCAGGAGATGACACGTGTCATCATCCTATTAATCCAAGAAGCTTATAAATAGAGGCATGAGGGAAGAAGGAAGGGGGACAAATTCAGAATTTTGAGGTCCAGAAATCCAGAGACTCAGAAATCCAGGACACACAAATTCAGAAATTTAAAAGGTCAAGAAATTTAGACACAAAATCAGAATTCAGAAGTCCAGAGACTCACAAATTCAGACGTTAATCCAGAAATCCAGAATTATAGAGAGAAATACAAAAACTCAGTCCAAAAGCGAAGAACACCAAGCACACCAAATCATGCCGTTCTTTATCAAATTTCACGGTGATCAACAACAAGCACATCAAATCGTGCCGTTCTTCATCCAAATTCCACGGTGATTCAAGATTAAGCTTGTGCAGCCCTTGAATCCAACCAACAAAGGAGATCGAATCAGAGGATTTTATTCTTTGTAAAGAATACTACAGAGGATTGTACTCCAATTTTCCTAATTTAATAAAATATTATATTTGCTCTCTATTTTGGTTTTATTCGCAAACAACAAAATTTGTGTGTATAAGGGTTTCTCTCTTGACTCCGAAAAAAAAAGGTAATTATGCCACGTCTCATTAGTGATAAAATTATAAAAATTACCATGTGATATCTATCATTTTTCAAATGTTGGACATATAATTGTGTAGTGTAAAAACCCAATCCAAATTTAAACGTTTTTATTTCAGTTCAACTCGTTTTGAAGCTTTAGATGTTACCCATGCCACTTAAATGTTGCACCAACGAGGCCTTCAGATGGCCCAGCCCAATAAATGGTCCAAATTTCTAACACCTTGATTTAACCAACATGAATTTCACCATATATATATATATACATATATATATCAAATGCCTTTAAAAGATGGTCCTTTGATCATTTGCAATACGATTTTTTTTAGGCGGCAAGATAATGGTATTGTATTTCAACTTAATGTCTTGCAATGGAGGTTACAATGCCATTAAATCAAGGTGCAATACGATTCTTTCAAAAATTAAAATAATGGTGTTGTGATTTAGAAAATAATAGAGTTAGAACTTCTACTGCAATACACTAGTAAATCAAGGTGTAACCTAAGTCACACAATCCTTCTTAACTGATGTCGCTCTTACGTTCCACGCACGCTCAAATTCTCATTATTTATGACTTAATTTTGCCATTCTCACGCTTCTGTTTTTGAATTTGATTTCACTTTCGCTCCGCTTTATGTAACTTAGAATGCAACATCATTATTTCAAGATTTGAAATAATTTTATTTTTTTGAAAGGTGAAATAATGAATTATTAATTGATATTAACAATCCACTATTAGGTTGGAAATAATTTTAGAGTACATGATCCGTTAATAAATGATACCTACTTTGAAATCAAATTGTTGGTGGGAAGGTAATAGTAATGGTCATTTGTTATCCCACGTAGAGATGTTAGATGGCAACCATATTCCCGATGATAGATATGTGGGTCTTCAACACACAGTTTCTCAAAAAGATTTTAATCAATTCCACAACTTTATTAAACAAGTAATACCGAGCTCTCTCATGTTTAACAAATAAATTGAAAGAGATATTAAATAATTTATTTAAATTTTTATAAATTTTAAAATATTATTTCAATTTAATAGTTAAATATGAAGAGCTCTTGACTATTTTATTTTAAATAATTTCTCACTTTTTTTAAAGTAATACTGAAGTTTCACCAAAAAAAAAAATGCCAATAAAGACTTGAAGAGTGAGACAACATTTATGATTTAGTTTATTATAAAATAAAAACTATTAAAAGTAAAAATAATAAAGCTTTGTTTCGAATAAGATGAATGAAAGTTCAGTCTTAAATTTAAATTTTTTCTAATTTTAATCTCAAGACACCAATTTTGTGGAATTGAATAGTTGTTAGAGAGGTGAGAAGTGGGCACAACTTATTTCATGTAATTACTAATTTGGTCATATTACATAACATCGAACAAGGGCAGAAGATCAGACCAGCTAGTCCAACCTACGGATCAACAGGTCTGTCCTCAGAACCAAACACATTGGTCAAGCAAAGAAACAAAGTAACATCAAGATCAACCAAATAAAGACCAATTAAGACTCAGACATATATAATAGCATAGCAACAGCTAAAGAGTCTCAATTAAGCAAAAATCTCCTCAATGGGCTTGGCCTCCAACTTGGCTTTCTCTGTTTCTTGCAACTGTTTCTCCTTGGCTTGCTTCTTAAGTTTTGCAAGCTCAAGGTCCTTGCTCATCTTCCTCCTGTACATTTCCGAGAAAGGGATCGGCTCATCCAACACCGGCTTCTCTCCCTCCCGGACCTTCAGTGGGTACACCGTTGCATCTGGTGCCGGGTTCTGGAACGTGGCAATGGACAGCCTGCTGTAGTTTGAGTTCACCACGGCTTGGTGATCGGCATTCTTGAACCTCCCATTGCTCAGATACTGTTCAAAATGTGAAATTCACATCAGAAATGACCTTTTCATGTATAGATTCGTATATTATATTAAAGAATTTCGTTCAGATAATGGTCTCTTTTTTTCTTATCCAGCAAAAAACTCACACACACACACACACACACACACTTTCTCTACACGGAGGAGCCAATGTCATGCTGGCATAGTCATTTTTTTTCTTATACTGGCAAAAAAACTCACACACACACACACACACACACAGAGAAGCCAATGTCATGCTGGCATGTCCTGAATTGGCACTAAACTATCTACCATTCTTTTTTGAGCATTAAATCTACAAATGAAATCACCACTATGAGCAAATCCCAAATTGTGTAGCAAAATGGCACGTTTATAATAAGAAAACTTAACCCACAAAAAGTAATAACTATTTGGTCAGATTTTTTTTTACATAAGAAGAGTATTTTCACTTTGTGTGGACCAAGTTTCTTTAAGCCAATTTATTACCATTTACAACATTTCATGTGCTAGACACCTAATTTTTTGTACCATAGGTATGATTTCCAATTAATACATGAATTTTCAATAAAATACATTGTACTTACATGACCATGATCACCAAGGTTGACAACAAAAGCTCCCTCCACAGGCTGAACAGTGATCCAAGTCTTGCCACCATCCCTGGTGGCTTGAAGTCCCCCAACTTGGTCCTGCAACAGAAGGGTGATGGTCCCGGGATCGGTGTGGCGCTTGAGCCCGAGAGTGAGGTCTGGCTGTGGACACTTTGGGTAGAAATTCACCACCACTTTTTGGTCCATGTCCACGCAGGCCTTCGTCAAGGCCTCCTTCTCCAAACCCATGGCCTCCGATAACACCTCCAGGAGCTTGCACGCCAGCTCCATCAGCTTCTCGCTGTACTTCTCCGTCACAGCTCTCCACCCCTCCGGCTTGTCCGGCCACCTCGAGTAGTCCCTAGTCCGAAGTGGATAGGAGAAGTAGGTTACAATCTCGCGCCAGTCCTGCACTGCTTCACCCTGCAAATCAACCATTTCTAATTATCAAGTTCAATTTCTATATAACTTTCAAATTAATAAAGTTCAATTTCTATAAATGTACATACATAAACATGTCTTCAATTTCATTGTAAAATGGTTTGGACATGAAAATATGACAAAATTGCCAAATATTTTGTAATTAAAGGAAAATAAAGATTGTATCAACATGTGTCTAGCTAGAATAACAGGATTTCACTTAATTTGGATCTCCAAATGAAATTTCAATTAGAGTGATAAAATTTGAAATGGAACAGCATTTAAAAAGATTTTAAATGACAAAATATACTATTTTTTTGTTATGGAATATCATTAAACATAGGTGAATTTCGAGAAATTTGAAAATCACTGTACGTTGATTAGGGCCTATAGACACAGAAGTGTGTGGGTCCACCTCAAATGTGTTACTCGTGTATAGGCCCTAGCAGACATTGGTGAGAAAAGCTTTTTTCAAATTAAAATCAAAAGAAAAATAATTAACTTATAATTTGAAGTAACATAATTCACAATTTCGATTTCAACCTAAGCATTACATATATACTAAAATCATCCACAATTCAATTCCAAGAAGTGAATTCCATACTATATCAAAAGCAGTATAATATTAAATTCCAAAATTCTATAGCTGGTTTACTTTGTTCTAAAAGCATAAATAGCTTTTGATTCACAATTTCGATACCTGTAGATGGCTGGAGACGATGAAACCGCCTTTCTTGCCACCGGTCATGTCGAACCGGAGCTTCTCCTCCGGCGGCAAAGCGAAGAACTCTCGCGCCAGACGAGTCATGTCCGAGACAAGCTCTGCATTTACGCCATGATCAACCACCTGAAAAATCCCCCAATCCTCACAAGCCTCCACAATTTTCTTGCAAATCTCCGCTCTCCGGCCAGCGACGTCGTCAATTCCGTCGAGAGAGATCACCGGAATTTCGCTGCTGAATTGGTTGTAAGCAACCTTGGGACGCTCGTCCTCGTCGCGGACGAAGCTCGATTGCAGTGTCTTCTCCTCCGCTAGAGCCGTGAGAGTCGAAGGTGCCATGTTCTCTTATCCAATCACACTTTTTCTCTTGTGTGTGTGTATGTATATATATATATATATATGTTTCTATCACTATATCTGTGATGTACGTAATTGTTGGTTAAGACTATAGAGGGGTGCGCTGGGTTATATAATGCGTCGGGGGTTGGTACCGGAGTGGCAGCTCCAACTACTCACCTCATGTGAGTGGTGGCAACTACCTCGCGCTCGCACGTGCCAACCGTTCTTACAGAACCTGTACGACGGTGAAGATAGCTAACTCTGTCACGTGCGGAACAATAACTTCGCACGTCCGAAGCTTAACTAGTCAAACACAGGATTGGTTGGACTTGCGTTTGTCTTTTATTGCCGGTTCGTATATACTTGATCAGTAACTGGCCACGTCGTGCGACGTGGGTTCTGTTTATTGGTGGTTGTTGAGGAAAGTATCACAGTCGGTGAGTATAAACCTATTTAAAATAATAATTAGAATATGGAAGGTTATACACGTGAATTTCACCTAATTTTACAATCACTAACTAAAATTGTAGTCACCATTTTTAATTATTTGTTTAAAAATTGGACAACCATTTATTAATAATCATAAAACATATCTAATTTAGTTATGGATTACTAACTTTAGAATAGTAGAATTAGTAGAGGGATAGTGGACAAAAATCCTCTCCATTGGAACAAGAGACTTGTCAGGTTTTTTTTTAATGACGTGGACCATTTTGGGCAACGCCATTGAACCGATAAGAACAAGTCTCCTGCTTTAATGAAGAGGATTTTTGTCCGAAAAACAATACCACCAAATAATTTAAACCATTTTTGTGTGGGAATATCCCTAACCCCTCTGTCTTCTTTTGTATTAGGAGGTTGAAGGTTCAAACTTTTATAAACGCAAAATAAGTGTGTTTTTATTACCGCTTTGCCTCAGGGCCAGCAATACTTCTATATTAAGAGGTTGAAGATTCAGACTTTCATATAGGCAAAATAAGTGTGCCTTCATTTGTTAATGTTTTATGTTTTGAACCCGTGAACGAAACTCTTAATATGCTTTTTATACGTCTATGACACTTTCAAAACTCCAAATTCATGACTATTCTTCAAAGGAGTGGTTGAAAATTAGTACTCTTACATCACGAAAAAGGAAAAGAACAATAAAAGTTCTCATTTGAATGACTGCATGAGAAAATTGTGTGAATTCAGTAATTTCATCAATTTAAAAATATAATCTAGTTGTAATCAAACCCCGAGGGGTTGGCTCCGAAGGTGAAGTCTTGGTATTTAGCTTCTCATGAATCATTAAGTATCAAACTCATATATTCTTGAATGTGATCAATTCTTTAGGGACCACGATTACGATCATAATTCGAGTTTTATCTATCTAGTTGTAAACAAAGTTCAAGCTAATTGGATATTATTATAATTAATTTTTTTTTCAGTGACAAACTTCTTATTTCAAATTAAGGTTATATGAGCAAAAAATGTTAAGGACCCAAGCTAGTTTTGGATTCCTCACTTTTCCCAGTATAGGGATGGTCCCGAGATCATTAGTCCTGAGCAACCATTAATTGACATGTAAACAAAAAACTGAATAAATCCATTTTTGGTTCGGTTTCTATATCCTTCAACACGTCCCTTCATGTGTGGTCTTTTTTTATTCCAACACGTGTTTTTTGAATTTTTTTAATTAGAGTGACAGTAAAGTATGAACTTGAGACTTTTGACTTTAATACTATGTTACACAATCATCTATTAAGGACTAGAACATGCATCTCATTGAAAATATACAACACTCACACTTTTTTTTTTTTTCAAGCTTGAAGAAAAATGAGCAATTATGAACAGAAAAACTTAGTAAAAACTTAATAGTAATATTTATTTAATTTTTTTACTTTAACAAAAAAACTCAAATTCTTACTTCGTCCACATGAAGACTTGAACCCCGTATACTCTATTTTAAAACAATTGGTGATCCCAAATAATAATTACATAAATAACTATTTTTGCAGTGGATTTGAAATGCAAAGCTAGACGATATATTTAGCAACAATTGTCATGGGATTAATTTTGTGCAGTTTAATTGAAATTGAAGTGATTTTGATTTTTCCAAAATAACACGAAATTTAATAAATATTGGAATTAAATCAGTAAGAATTGTGGATTTGTAGTTGGAATAACTTTGGATGATGGCAACCCTTTTAGGTAAAAAAGGGATTACTTTGGAAATCTTCTATTTAGGAATTTGAATACGTTTGGAACAGATCAAAAGTCATATGCTTAGTTGTAATTTTTTCTAGAAGCGTAGGGGTCGTGATTATCAAATAGCTTTTATCAAAAGCACAAACTTTTTTTTGGCCCAATGAATAACAATGCATAAAACTTAGATTATAGTTAGGGGTGCGTACGTTCGATTTGGTCTAAGACTAATTTAAAATTATATTGTTCTAAGTAATTTATTAATTATAAAAATCAAAATCGAACCGTTAACACATGAAACAAAACCAAACCAAATCAATCTTATTTCTTGGTCATCTTGGATGAGTGGGCTGGGTTTGTTTTGGGTCAACCCAATGCCCAATTCGGTATTTGTAAGGAATCCAAACCTTTAGGACCAAAAGATGCCTGTTAACCTAAGAAACTGTATAACTGGGAACCGCAGGAACTCCATTCAAATAGAAACGCAACGGCTAGTTGTGGGAATCGGACCACGCTCCAACGGTCATATTTCCCCTTGAAACCCTAATTACATCTCTCTTTATAAAAACTCCACACCTCGGCGCATACAACATCTCTTCTGTTTCTCCCTTTTCAATCTTTCTGTGTCCCAAGTTTACTAGTTTACTCTCTCTCTCTCATCTTCAATTCTCATTCGCCGGCGTCAATTAAAGAAAGCTCTCCGGCGACCAACATCAGTTTTCCGATACCATTCTAAATTTCACAACTCCAAATGGAAACCCCATCATCAACCACAAGGGTCACAAGATCACAAGCCTTGGCTTCTGCAAACAGTAACAACAACATACCCATGTCGAGTAAGTGGTTCTCAATACTCTCTTTTCTTTCAAAGATCAATAATAATCTTTACCCACACAAATATAACATTATAACTGTTTGTATTGATTGAATACTTTTGATTGAAATTTTGAAGGGAAAATTGTAGAATCTGAAAGGGTGTTTCAAAATCACTCTCTCTCTCTCTCTCTCTCTCTCTCACACACACACACACACACATGAACTTGTATTGATCGATTGAAAACTTTGGGTTGAAATTTTGAAGGGAAAATCGAAGAATCTGAAACGGGTGTTTCAAAATCATTCTCTCTCTCTCTCTCTCTCTCTCACACACACACACACACACATATGAATTTCTTGTATTGATTGAAAACTTTGGGTTGAAATTTTGAAGGGAAAATTGAAGAATCTGAAAAGGGTGTTTCAAAATCAAGACAGAGAAGTGTGCAACAACAAGATAGGTCTGCTTTGATTGATATAACAAATGATTCGCCCATTGTTGGGCTTGCAATGGGAAGCTTAACCCCATCATCAGCAATGTCCAAGAAGAAGAGCAACAGCCAAGCCAATCACAACACTCCTGGTTCTGGAGAGGCCTTGTTGAGGGGTCAAGTGAAGACCCTCCTGCAAAGGGTCGAAGAAGAAGCCGAGCTCTCGAAACTCTCCTTGGAGCACAGACCTTTCAGTCACCTTGTCCAATCTCCAATGGGACTTCTTGCCCCTACTCCGGCGAATACACCCGACGTCCTAAACCTCTCCGGCAATGAAGAAACCTTCAAGAACATTTGTTTGGCCTCGGTTACCCCTTCTCCAATCCAAGAACAGTTTGAGATTTCTCAGGTATGTCCAACTTGAAATCAATAATTGTTTAGGGACTTTTGCTATAAAGATTGAAATTTATATTGTTTTATATATGTGTGTGTCTGCAAATTTATATTGTTCTATAAGTTCGAATTTTGTGTTGTTGTGTGTGTGTGTTTGTGCGTGCGTGTGTGTGTTTGATAGTTGTCAAGATTTGGCCAATTTGGTGACTCTTAATCAACAATTGTTTATGGGTTATTGCTATAAAGATTGATTTTTTATTTATCTATTGTTTTGTATAAATGTGTCAGATGGAAATTGAAACATTTGATGTGAAGGAGGAGGGTCTTGAATCTGAGAAGAGTTTGATTACGAGGTCTTTGCTGTTGGACTTTTCTGATAAATCAGACGGTTCTGATTCATCCCATTGTTCCTCTGTGCTGACATACATTGGAGGAGGAGACATTGGAAGTGTAGAGAAGTCAAATACAGATGATGACAATGCCTCTGCTTGGTCTATGCAAGTCAATGCTAGTAGTTCCGGGTATGGAGAAGAGGATAATGAAGGAATTGAGGAAGTTGAAGAGGAGGAGGAGGATGACTATGAAGATTATGAAGAAGAAGATGAATATGATGAAGGGTTGGTTGATGAATTGTGTGAAGGGCTGAATAAGATCAGTGTGAATGGAGAGAAGAAAATGGCGAAATTTACGGGTAAACACACGCGGTTTGTGTACAACAGCGATGGTGAGCTTGAAGGAGAAGAAGAGTGTGGTGGTGAGAAAGAAGAATCGTCGGCTGTTTCGCCTTGTGTCTTGCGTTTGAAGGGCTTGCCAACACCAAATGGAAAGCACCTGCGATTCCCTGAAGAGTTGGAAGAAGATGATCACTGAATTTTGGTTCTATAAATGTGGTGGCTCTGGCCTCTAAGGCCTTCTTTTTTGTGGATTAATTGTTGATGGTTGTCTTCCTTGTGACACCATATGTTTGCCATCTCTGCTACTTGTTTTTTGTTTTTGGTCCAACTTTTTAAGTTTCAATTCTGTTTTGAATTGTGATATTGGGGAGTTCAGTCTTTGACTGATGGGGGGGTGGAGAAAGAAATTTTAGCAGCTGTGTTTACAGGTTAATTTGATTGAATACTCATTCCAATTTTACTTCAATTGTGTGAAAGTAATTTTTGTTTTTGCAGCTCATCCCTATCTTGTGTCACAAAAACACACACAAACTCTTTCAAATGATACCTCAATTGTGTGAAAGTAGTTTTGATTTTTGCAGCACATCTTGTGTCACGTACACGAACACTCTACTCAGTGGACTGAGCAGCTAAATTCTCTAATCCAATCTTTTACAGACTCAGTAGTTTTTATTTTTCCAGCACATCTTGTATATCACACACACACACACAGAGATGCACACACTACTGAGCAGCTAAATAAATTTCTGTGGGGTGTGAACAAGTGGTCAAACCTCTGAAATAAGAAAAAGCCCACAAGACTCAAAAAGAGTGCCAATTCAAGGCCCCTTTTGGTTTGGTTAATGGATTTTGATTTTGATCCATTAGGGTTGTGAATCTAACTAAGTCTTTTATGCCTTGGACTTGGTCTTCAGATAGATAATGGACATATGAAGAGATTTTGAGAGTCTCTTATTTGTGATTTTTTGTGAGAATGAGAGGAAGGACATGTTTCAAGCTTATTTCCATCAAAATGAAGACTTTTAACAAATATGAGAAACTCAAATTCACTTTTGACATCAATTCTATGAAGTCAAATGTCTCTACAACCTATTGGCTTTTAGGGCCTTTTGCCAAAGAACTTCCATGGGTCCCACTACATTGCATCTAATCAATGTAGTAATTCCGAATGAGTAATTTTTTGCGACACCCATCTCCAATATTTTTTATTTTTTATTTTTTGTTCAGGCTCTTAGATTTCAATTCATTTTTGAATTGTGATGTTGGGAATTCAGTCTTTGATTGATGGAGAAGAAAGAAACCTTTGCAGCTGTTTACAGGTGCATTGGTCGAATAATACTCATTCCAATAGCACACCATAATTGTGTCTCAAAATTCATGAATGTTTCCAGAGAGGTAAGAGAGACCAAATTCATGAATGTTTGGAACTCATGATAAAGCCCTTTAACAATTTCAAAGGAAGCTTTAGTAAGATTTTGATTTGATCCATTATGTTTAAATCCATTGATTTATGCCTTGGATTTGGTCTTCAGTGAGATTAATACACAGATTTTGAGTCTTGTTGTAACTGTGACATTTGAAGTATGAGGAAGGACAAGTTGATATATTTCTCCTACCTGTTAGTAGTAATATTTTCAAGTCAAGTCACACAATTCTTCCTAATGAATGTCGCTCTCACTCTCTGCACGCTCACTCCCGCTTCGTGTGTTTTAGATTTTGCCACTTTTGCACTCCCACCCCTGCTTTGTATGACTTAATTTTGTAAGCTATTTCCATCTATTAAGAAATAGAGTATAAGAAACTCAAATTCACTATTGACTTAAATTCCATGAAGTCAATAATACTTGTTCCATAATCTCACACACACACACACACACACACACACATACACATATATATATTCTCTGTTAATTAGGGGGAAAGGGACTCGAACACGGGCACACCTGCTCGAAAAATTGGACCTTCTACCAAGTAGGCTACTAGGATACCCAACCATATATGACCTTTAGGGATTCCCTCACCTATTCTATTCCTATAACCCATTTGGCTTTGGGGCCTTTTTCCAAAGATATTATTCTCTCCACATCCTAAACATAACACAGAGAAGGACTTTAGTCGACATCCAGATTCTAGCCATGAACTCTTGTTATGGTCTGTGCAAACACCACAAACCATATATATCTTTGAAATTTCTCATTTGATCTGCAGTTCCAATAATTAGATGGTCCTAAATTTTAATTTCTTTTGCATTTATTAGTTAAGAAACAGTAAGCAATAAGCTCACCCAATTCAATAGATTCACATGAATCCCAGTACATTGCATCTAATGGATGTAGTCATTCGGAATGAATGATTATCTCATTCACGAGAATATCGTTTTTCTACGAATAATGTGGGTCTCGTCATGCTGTAGCAAGTTATCCATTGTAGAGTGTTATGTGTATTCAACGCAATTAAATCGTATTTCAATACATTATTTTTAGCCGAAAGTAGTGATATTGAAAAGAGTTTTCCACACATAACTTCAAACTTGAACTATCGGGTTGAAACTAGATGTAATTGTGTTGAGCCTCTCTAGGTATGGTATGAGATTCAGGTTGCAGAGGATCTTGACTCCTCGCATAGAAATCCACACGAGTCCACCTTAGGGATAAAGTTGTCGAAACGTCCAAAACATAACTCGATCTCCATGACTGTGTGTTTAAATACACACTACACAGCCCCAAGATCACATATATGCATGCTTTAGTTGGTCAACACAAGATCCATTTTCATGGCTACCAGTTCAGCCAGAAAATAAAATAAGAAGTCCGACAGCAAATCCAATTCATAGCATTGTGGTGATTCACCCTCACGGACCATAGTTTATAACCATATATATATATATATATGGTTCATAACCATATAAATATATATATATATATGTATGTATGTTCCATCCTTCCCAAACATCATACTAGTTGTTTATCAACCCATCACTCACTGCTCATCTTTGAACGACAATTTCTTTATTTGCCCATTATGTACACTTTCTCTTTGTCTTTATGCAGACAAGAGAATTCGTGGTGTCAAAAATTCGTGGAATTAAGTACATTTGAGATGTCGTATTCGGAACATAAAACAAGAGGGTAATGTGGTCGGTAAGTCGGTTGTATTGAAAATATATATATATATATATATGTGTGTGTGTGTGTGTGAAGTCATGATCTATAAGTTCATTGAATGTTTGGTTTTTTTTTTTAACAATAAAACTGTGCACATGTCTCCATGTGAACCCTTCCAGTACTGATCAAGACAAAACTATTCTAACTCCATCGCTCGTTTACATGCTATGCATATGCACACACATACATGTGTGTGTGGCCTAAATTTTCATGAGGGTGCTCTAACAAATAATATGTGAGTGCAGAAGGGATCATAAACTAAGGGCGGAGTCAGGATTTTATATAATTTTTTAAAATCAAAAGTTAAAATATATATATATATAGTTGTAAAATAATATGCTAAATAAATATTGCAAAAAAATATACTTGACAAATATAAGAATCAAAATATTGATTAATAATATTTTAAGTAAATGCAATTATAAATGTCATCGATAAAAAGAAAAAATCAGAAAAAAAAAATGGTACAATACTTATTAAACATTAGTGAAAAAATAATTTTTTTGAAAAAGGACACAAAAATCAGAAAAGGACAAAAATATGGTGTACTTGAAGAGGGGAATATATGCAATTTTTTTTTTAAAAAAAAAGAAATTAGAGGAATTTAAAAATTTTAGAGGGGCACTATTTAAAATTACCATATATAGCAGAAATATGTATGGAGCAAGGGCCCTCTGGGGTTTAATTGTTTTGGCCCCTGTTATAAACGGCTAGCTTAGTACACAAGGCTCCTATCATTACTGAATCTGAAAGGTCTGATACATGGGGTCTTACTTTCCATATAAAAATGTTGTTTTCAGTTTCAAACAGTGACCTTCGGTTCATTATGGAGCAACCATCTGCGCGCTTAATAGGGATGTATATAGTGGTGCAAGTTAAGGCTGCTGATGAACCATTTGATTTCTGCTCCTGCAGCTTCATATAGCATTGTCCATAAATTAAGGGCCGGTTCCTTATTTATTTTTATTTTTTTGAAATTTTAAATTTTAAGGGCCGTTTCATTTTTATATGACAAATTTATTGTCCGAGAGAATTTTCTTGCAGAATTTAGGGGTGGAAGATGACTTGATGTGTAGAGAAACGCAAATCAAGTTAATTGGCCTGTAAGTGTAGGCCATGTTTGAATATAAAAAAACCCTATCTTTTATATATATGTATGCAATATTATTCAAATAAAAACCCTATTTTCCCACACACACACACACACACACGCATTATACATAATAATAATTACAATGTTTTTTTCATGCTTTAGTGATGAAAATTGGCGGGTTAATTAGCATTAGTCCATCTCCAGAAAATAAGTTCAATCAGTAACTCAACCTGAAAAAGTTTGGCATTAAAACCGGGATCTGGAATAATTTAATTGACCCTACACGTAAGAATTTGTGTTGGTATATATGTTGACTTAAGACTGATCAGACCCACCATTGCCAGCAAAATTTCTAATAATTTACTAATACCAATTTTTTTTAGTACCCTTACGTATGTATATATATATATATATATATATATATATATATATATATATATTGTTGATCATTAGTTGATCCCTCAATAATGGACTCGTTTTATACTAATGATGATTAAATTAATTAATTAATTATCCAGCGTAACTAATATATCCAATGCAACTAGTGAGCTAGCTGACTTCTTCAGAAGCTGATATAGGCTTATAGCCTGCTACAGCTTATACTATTGAGTCATTGTGTACAACAAAAACGATAAATTTGGTTCTCTTGGATTTAAAATAAAAAATCAAGGGTTTAATTTCTCAACGAAATAAAAGTGAGTATGTAAAATAATTTCAGAGAAAAAACAATAAAACAAAACTTTATCTATGTATATTTAACATGATTTTTCATTCATATTTTCGTGTACAAGGTATTTGGTTTAAGTCGAAAAGTTTAATTGGTAATTTTTCTTTTCATCCAAAGCTTAAGGGCACATCTAACATGAAAAAAAACAAAAAAAAAAAAAATTCGAAAGATCAAACAAACCGTACACATTCACAATCAATTAGAGGGAAATGGATCCCCTCCTGATCAGAGGGGTCGTTGTTTTGGTATTAACTAATTCGTGTTGTAGTTTTGTACCACTAGCGCGCTTTGGGCTTCGTTTTATGCACCATAACAAGGACAATGCTTAGCTACTCACCAGTGAGTAGGGTGAAGCTACTCACCCTTATATGGTCCAATAACAAAATAACACATCACCTTTAATAATAAAATAATTCACATCTTTTTCTACTTTTTTGGATCAATCATTAAATATGATAATACTAAAATGAAAATTTCGTCTCACTCTTATATATATATATATATATATATATATATATATTTCTATGGCCATATATATATATGGGCCATATAGCTCAACTCCAAGCCACATTGCAGTCAGTCAAACCTAGCTAGCCAGTTCTCACACTCATTCTTTATCTCACTAGTATTATATACGTACAATCTGCAATATTATATAACAATGTTACATGTTCTATGTGCCTGTCATAGATTCTCTCACACACTGATTCAGATCCTCATGGTTATCAAAGACAACCAACCACCACCTCAACCCAAACCTCAACCCAAGAATATGCAGGACAAACCCAAAGGAGCTCGAGGAAGACGACGTAGCATCATGAAGTTCCACTTCCTCTGCATGCCAAACCTCAGACCCAACTCCTCCACCACCACCACCACCACAACCACCCACCGTGTCTCCCCTATGTCGTTGCTGCTCGAACGGTTCCGAGAAGCCGTGTTTCGCCTCATAATGCTGTCTGCTCTCTCCAAAGCCACCCATCAAGGCGGTCCGGGGGAGGCGCGACACCGGTCTTATTACCGGCCGCCTTACGAGGCTCATGACCACAGTGAGGCCGTGGCTGACTGCATAGAGTTCATCAAGAAGTCGGCCACCGCGGAGGACAACCGGAGCTCCACCTCGAGTAGTTGCGTTGATGGCACGGCTGAGGTGGCCATACCGTTGCCGGTTATGTAATTTTTATTGTTTAGACAATATGGTTTGGTTGGTACTGACTTTGTATCCAATTTTTTGAAGTTTGGATTTTTCTTTTTTTTTTTTTTTTTTTTTTTTTTTTCATTTTTCTCTCGTCAGCTATTGTTTGGAGGGTGGTTGCGTCAAATGTCACTCGATTTGAAAATAGAGGTTGTAAATTTGTGTGTTACTATAATTTTACAAGAAATTGTAGTTTGTTTTTGTTTGGCAAAAAAAAATTGCTCTCATAATTTTTTTTTTTTTGGTTTTTTAATTGTTCTATAATGATTAAAAAAAAACTCTAATTAAAAGTTATTACATAGCATTACCATGATATATATTGAAATAGAACTTTGAGTCACTATGTAATAACTTCACACGTATAGAACTTGTTCGAGTTGGATTTCAATATGTATCATGGTACTAATTATTATTGAATACAAAAATTGGGTAAAATTTATTTTAACTTATCATGGATTAGGTTCAACTATAAACTATTCACTAGTGATTTTTTTTTTTTTTAATAAATTAGGGATCGAACACAAACACATTTGTTTGGAAAATTAAAAGTTCAGACCACTGGATAATGTCACACTAGTCTCAAATTGAGGTTGAGGTTGAACATATGAACGGCTAAGGCTGAGTTACCCACCAAGATCTCCAAGTTCAAACGGGTTGAAAATTTCCATTCCAAAACGGGTCGGGTCGGTCGGTCCAAGCTGCACCCATAATATCCAGTTTTCCTTCTAGAGTCGGTTTCAGAATCGGATCTCTGTCTCTCTCTCTCTCTCTGAGGGCTTCTCTGTTTCTGCAAAATCATCGAAGTTTGAAACGAAGATCAGAGAAAATGGCGGGTTAGTAAGCCATCTTATATGGTGTCTCTTTTGAATATATACATACATATGTATGTGTGTGTGTGTGGTGTTTGTTGGTTGCAAGGCTTGACAGTGTTTTCGCTCTGTAATTGCAGGTGGGCAGCCCGAAAGAGAAGACAAGGTTTCGTTGGAACTCACCGAAGAAATTCTTCAGGGCATGGAAGTCGGCATGGCCTTCCGTGATTATGTCAATTTCATCTCTCTATATCTCTATTTATGATTCTTCTATTCTTACCTATATATGCACATGTACTTGTATGGGCAAAGTAAAATTCTTTACAAATCACTATTTCCATCAATTTTGTTGAACTTATGATTTAATTCTTTTAATTTTACTCAACTAGCAGAGGGTGGTGTTTGATTTTCTCAAATCTTCTTGCTTAATTTGGTAGCTGAAAACCTAACTGATAGCTATTTGTTTCCATTGCTAAAATCACTGTGGCAAGTTTATATTTGCTTTCTCATTGGGTAATTAGGTTAAAAAATGTGATCTTTGGATTAAAAAAACCAAGTTTTTTAAGAAATTAAACTTGGTTTTCGGACACATTACTTATTGAGGTTCAAGTTTGAGGGAGGCCACCTTGTGCAATATAGTAAAGCTAAAACATTGGGTACTTTTATTTGGGAAAAGTTTTGTTCAAAAATATTGCTTGAAAGGAAAAACTAAAAGAAGAAAGGATGTGGTTGTGTGCTCTATATATATATTTCGCCCTTCGTAGGTTGATTTATAAGAGAGTGATCTGAGCTTTAGGTTGCTACAATAAGTAAACGCTCATATCAAAAAGTTTTTTTGTTTTTTTTTGAAGCCCATTATATTTCATAATCAGATGCTATGACGCAACAAGTAGTTGTTGTATAGTGTAGGTCATTTAAAATGCTATTCTTTCAACTTCTAGTGTTTCAGTGTATATCTGCATATTCTTTATTATTGATTTTAACTCGTATAACTTTTATTATGCCACAGTTTCCAATCTTGAGTGCAACTGTCTCATTCATATTTAGATCTATGTTTATCAAATTATTTCTATCATGTTACTTTTTATTTTACTCTGCAATTTAGTTAATGTTTTCCATAGTACCTCTGCGAGTAATTCTTTTGTCAACTTATATAAACTGCTACTAACTTCCTAACATCTATTCACTTTTTACAGAATGGTAGAATCAGTTCAATGGATTTTCATAGGACGTCAAATTATCTGGTTACTGCTAGTGATGATGAATCCATTCGTCTGTACGATGTTGCCAATGCAACGTATGTCCCTCATTTTCTGTCTTCAATATAGAGTTGGTCTAAGATATAGAAAAGATTTAGATGTTTCTTTTTGGAAGTCTCGTTGAAATTTTTTTCTCCTTTCGGTGGCTTTAAATTTGATTCATAATATATAATATGATTTGCATAATTGCATGCATATATTTAGGTTTTAGGAACATTCGGGCAAAACGTTGTAAACTGGATTGCTTGGCCCTCAGGGTTGGTTTTTGTTATATTTGAAAGTTTGTAAATTTTCCCTAATGCTTCCCATTTTCTTAAGAGCGTGATGCATTCAAAATTCTCATTTAGCACCTGTGGATAGCGTTTATTAACTTCTTTCATACTTGGATGACTTGAAAAGTGTGTACTTACTTGGAAGACATAAAAGTATTGCATTAAGGTGTCCTAGGTGATCTTATTTGATAGTGAGTAAAACTGTTGTTTCATTTCTTAAAGTTGTTTATGTTTTTATATGAAGTAAAGTATGTATGATACTCCAGCTTATAACTTCTGGAAGAAAAAAAAAAACCGACACTCCAGCATATGTAGAATTATTGACTCACATTCTCATTGTAGAAAAGTAGAAAAAGGGAGAATATACTGCTTCAGTTTGATTCTTTTGCGTCATTAATCTCTCTTTTCTCTAAACTTCATTTGACTACTGAAGTAATTTTTGCACTTTCACTTCATCATCTTGTTATTTCATTCATGTTGACATGAAATATTGAGAAACTTTACTTGTTACTGCCAGATGTTTGAAGACAATTAATAGCAAAAAGTATGGGGTTGATCTGGTTTGCTTTACGTCTCATCCCACAACTGTTATATACTCCTCGAAGAATGGTTGGGATGGTATGTATATTAGAACAATTTTCGTCAGTGTATGGCTGTATGCTTTATAGAATGATCAACACGTATGTTTAATTGATTCAGAGTCTCTGCGGCTTCTCTCATTGCATGATAACAAGTATTTGCGGTATTTTAAAGGTCATCATGACAGGTACAGTTTTTGACACCATTGGCATTTGTTTTACCTCTAGTTACTGCTTGTGCCAAATCATATTTGTTTGTAAGAGTGACATTTTCTGTGGTGGGTTTTGCCAGGGTTGTCTCCCTTAGCTTGTGCTCTCGAAAAGAATGTTTCATCTCTGGCTCTCTTGATCGAACAGTTCTGCTTTGGGATCAAAGAGCTGACAAGTGTCAGGTGGAGGCCTTGGCAGCTTGATGCTCATTTTTGAGATATATATATATATATATATAATTTTTACATCACTTTCTAACCAATTCTTTGTATTTTAGGGTCTTTTACGTGTACAAGGACGGCCTGCTACTGCTTACGATGATCAAGGGGTTGTCTTTGCAATTGCTTTCGGAGGATACGTAAGAATGTTTGATGCCCGCAAGTATGAAAAGGTTACTATACAGGAATATATGAAACTAATATATGAAACTCAGTCGCAAAGTGATTCTCATCTATAAATGTCACTTTTGGCAAGCTCTAATTTGGTGAAATTTAATTCATTGAAGGGCCCTTTTGATATATTCTCTGTTGGAGGAGATATGTCTGATGCAAATGTTGTTAAATTCAGTAATGACGGAAGACTTATGCTTTTGACAACTACAGATGGACATATTCATGTACTTGATTCATTCCATGGTACACTTGTGAGTTGTTTTCCACTTCTAATTTCAAGGGGGAAAAAATGTTCCATTTATCTAAACAAATTATCCTTTCTGATTTGCTTTTATGCTGATTCTTAAAATAGCGGTCCACATACAATGTCAAGCCAGTTTCAAGTGGTTCCACTTTAGAGGCATCTTTCAGCCCCGAGGGAATGTATGTTATATCAGGTACTGCAAGTGTCCTTTCAGTTCTCTTGGGAACAATTATTGAGCTCTTAGATCTTAATGTTTCCTCTTTTGGACAATTAATGCATACCGGCATGCTTATTGCATTTATGGCATATCAAATTCTGAGGTGAACTTTTCTCATTAACCACTAATCACTATCAATTTAATAGGAGGAAGCTGTAGTATTTTATATGTGGTCTCGTGAATTACATGTGGCCTTAAGTGCTGGGTGTCCCAACCCACCACTAAATATTAGCAGCTAATCTATTATAAGCTTATATTCTTATTGATTTTTGCAAAGGCTCCATTTCAATTGAAGTCATTTTATTGTGTAATTTCGTAACATAGAAATCATATGACTGACAGCTTAAAGCATTTGTTTCTTGCAACCTTTTAAGAAGTAGCCCCTTTCTTGTCACTTCATTTTTCCATTCTGTGGAGGGATGGGTTAGAGGGAACTCATTTTTCAACCTCCAGATTCTATTTGACCTTTTTGGTTTCTACTACTTGACAGGTTCAGGAGATGGTAGTGTATTTGCATGGAGCGTTCGGAGTGGCAAAGAAGTATGATTTCCAATATTTTATTCTGTTGCACCACTTGAACATCCTCCCTTTCTTTGTTTTCCCTTCAGCATTTACCTGGCATTTTCTAATTCTCCATTTTAGCACTTTATAGGACTGTGGAGCTTTCATGAGGTATAACTTTGTACTTGCCAAGTGGACTGTGGTTTCATGACTGTTATCCTATTACCTTATAATTTTTCGCCAACACTAGTCAAACATTTTATGCGAAAAATATTGATCAGTGTGATAAAACAAATAGATGACCTTTCAATTTACTTGAGGGGCCAGAAACTAACAAAGCACTGCTGTGACAGAGAGAAAAAAAATTGAAGATAGTTGTTCTCTTGTTTACTTTCTGTTTTGTGCATGCATACTCTCTCTCTCTCTCTCTCTCCATATTTTTTTAAGCCTGAAATTGATATGCTAATAATTTCAACCCATTCAAATGTTCTTTTATGAACTTCATTCCTGATGTTTCCCTTGTTACTTGTAGACTGACTGTATGATCTGTTTTGTCCCCAGAAAGAAATATCATGTGAGATTTAGATGTGAGATTCATAATATCATATAAGATTCCAATTTCATTTTCCATTTGTTCTCTTGTCAATTAAACAAGTGCCGTGTGGATTACTTCTTTATAAGTAAATAATGTAGGCTTGTGCCCAGAATCCTTGCTGAATGAGTTTTTGTTATTATTCTGATATATGTGTGTGTGTTTTTTTGTGTTTGTACATGTGCGTTTGTGCCCTTTTGTACATAAATGTGTTTGTGTTTTGTTGTTGCTTGACTTGGATGGTTACACTCATTCTTACTCACTGTTCAGGTTGCCAGCTGGATGAGTACTGAAACTGAACCACCTGTCATTAAATGGGCTCCAGGAAGTCTAATGTTTGTTACTGGTTCATCCGAATTATCATTTTGGATTCCAGACTTGTCCAAATTAGGAGCTTATGTTGGAAGAAAGTAGAATTTCCTTTGGCAAGTGGCAACACCCTTGTAATTTTGATTGAAAGGTTTGCTTTCCTTTTTGATCAATTATTGATAGAAGATTAAATTGATGGCGAATCCCTTGTGTTCCATTCGTTGTCTGCCGACTAGTTTGCTTTTCAGGGACAATCAACGAACAGTGTGGAGGGCACATTTGCTTTGTATCACAGATGGAGGATCTATCAAAAAAGATATTGAAGGATGATGCGCTTTGTACCAAAAATTATTATTTCCAGATTTAGGTGCAATTTCTTGAAAGGGTTTTTAATGCTTTAGCTGTTGACTGTCCTGGATAATATTACACATGCATCATAAAATGCTTCATAAAGGAGGTGGCCTTCAGGTAGCAAAATGTAACTAACTGTACATAATTTTACCGAAAAAATGTGATTTTACATAGTTTGAGATCTTTATCTGATTGCTGGTTGGCAGTATGTGGTATGTACAAATCGTGTACGTTAGTTCGGTCTGAGGAGTTACATCATTGACTTGGATTTTGTTCGTTATATTGCGTTTCATTGTAGTTCTTGTATGGTTTAGTTTCTAATCTTGTAACTGATCTAAGAAGCTGCAAGTTCGTATTACCATTCAACCCTGGTGCCTGTGCATCATAAGTAGGTCCTCGAGTGCATGAGTTCCACACTTGTTCATAGATTGACCTTTGTAACTCAAAAAAACTGGAGCCAACTCAACTTTCCAGTAACTAGAGGTGGCTAAAAATTTCTCATTCACCTCTCAGCTATATTAGAATTTATGATGCATATGAGTCAAGGGTCCGGGACACATCAACATTCGATCTTTATAAGCAGTCTGTTGTTTTGTGCGTTGGGTTGTAGGCTGTGAAGTATTAACACAAGTAAAACCTTTAGTGATTGCAGTATAGTCTCTGCAACAACTAACAAGTTTGGGTTGCTAGGAACCAGAACACTCCTTGCTGTAAGGGACTTAATGCTAGATTGATGGATGCCGCGGAGAGCATTTCATGTGAAAGTGTTGCCACTTCCTTTATCAGTTGGCACCATGGCCTGGTATGAAGACCTTTACCAATTTCTTTAATTGTGAATGCATTTTTTTTTTTGTAGAAATGTTCAATCATGACTGAATTTTTTATAGCATGATACTTGAAAGAGGAAAAACAGAAGTTCTGTAATTTTCTGTCTAGATGACTACTTAGGGTTTTTGATGAATGAATGCAACCTAGCTGCTTTGCCTGCCCTGTATGGAGTATAATTTGGTTGATTTCTGGTTATTGTTTTGGATGATTTATGTAAAAGATATTTCTCATCTTACCAAGGTTTGGCATGTAAGTAAAGGACCAGTATATGAATACAACTGTATAAGTAAGAAATTGGCTTTCTATTCTCTGTATTTTTACATCTGTCTTGTGTGTGTGTGTGTGTGTGTGTGTGTGTGTGAGAGAGAGAGAGAGAGAGAGAGGTGATGGAGATAGAAGAAGTTAGATGGATTTGAAGAGTGAAGTTGAAAAATTGGAAAATTGATGAAAATGGTAGGCCAACAAAACTAGTTTGAAGGGGTGCAGGAAGATTTACATGAAAAAGGCAAAAAAAGGCGTGGGGATGGCGTACTTGAACCCTCAAAAACCTTTAAAGGTCTCCTTGGATCCACAATATGCATCTGTGTGTGTGTGTGTGTGTGTCTCTCTCTCTCTCTCTAAAAGGCTGAGTCAGTGCCCTAAATGACATTAGGGTCATCAGATGCCATAAAGTATGAAGAGATGTCCAACCAAATTCAGGAATGAGTCCATCCAAAATCTTCTTGAATGAGACTTTTACAATATGTATAGATTCAATAATAATAATAATAATAAAAGTAAATACATAAACTCCATCTGATTGACTGTCCCTTTCCCCATTGCAATAATTGATTTGGACCGTTCACATTCATCAATTATAGTCTGGTAATACTTTTTCGTCTAATTGGCTTTGTTTGGCTCTTCCTTTCGTCTCATCAATTATATTGTGCTACTTTTATTTTGTCTAATTGGATAGTGAGAGAGAGTGTGTGTGTGAGAACAAACCATATCTCAGTGAAATTAGTTCTTCTAGCTACTGATTATAGAGAGTTATCAAAGATTACAGTCTAGTAATACTTTTTCGTCTTATATATATATATATATATATATATATATATATATATAAAATGTAGAGACTAATGTTACATTTAGTTGGACAGAATGATTAAAGAAGGATGGGAGAAACTTCCTCATTTAGTTGGGAAGGAAGAGAAGAGAGGAAGAACATGAGGAGAGCATCCCTCCTTGACCTATGTTTTATCGTTCGTTCAAGATTGGACGGGAGAGAGGAAGGAATGAAATAAAAACATGCCTGAAAATATGTAATAAGAATTTTAAACTTCAATTATTTATAAAATGGCTTTGTTAACTCTATTGAAATTCCCTTCACATAATTACCAAATAGTAAACGAATTCCTTCTCATTTAATCAAACAATACTTAATTTATTCTTCTTCTCTCTTCCGTCTAGTTTTTCATCCCCCCAACCAAACCGGACATAATGGGTCGAAAACTGGGCAAGGTGGAGACTGTGGAGCCCAGCCCATTGACAGGATTGAGGGGACAAACAAATAATTTGTGATATTTACGATGTGGGTTCAAACTTCAAAATATATACTCTTTGCTCTAGTTACGGCCGTACACACTTTTTATTTATTTATTTTTATTTATAAAAGTTACGGCTAAAAATACTGCTAAGTCTCACTTTCATGATTTCATCCTCTTTTCTCTTCAAAAAAGTACCTTTAGGTTTATATTTAATTTTTTTTGGTTAGAAAGTGTAGCTTTTTTTAATTATGATTATAATTTTTTTTACTATTCATATCGTTGGAAAATCTTTTGGCTTTGTACCTCTTGCATGCCAACAAAACCCTAACTTATGCACTGCAGCGTAGGACGCACCACAGCTAGTGGGTCCCATCTGAAAATCTCTGTCTAGAGTTGCTCCAATCACATGCAAGTGATGTTGTTGTGAACCATTTAATACAAACATCTATTTGGCATGCCTGTGAATTAAGTGATCTTCAATTCTGCATAAATTCATTGAAAATGACATAAAACAGTCTTCAATACCATCATACTTTCACTATTTAATCATTTTTGACAGGGATAGAATTTGTTAATTTAATATATATATATATATATATATATATATATATATCTCTCTTTGTACTGTACTAATCCTTTATATCTACGGGTAACATGTCACCATGTAACATTATTTCAATCACATAAGCTTAATTGATGGTAAAAATTGAAAAAGAGTTGCTTACATATACTTTTTTCATATTCATTACTCATTAGAGGGGGTAATGGGATTCTATATATATATATATATATATATATATATATATATATATATATATACATACATACATACATATATATGAGAAATTGTAAAATCTATGCCATCAAGCATCTCATACATTGTCCGAGCAATGAAGTTGAAGAATCCATTGATTTAAACAAGAGACTCGGGAGCACAAAGAAAGGCAATAAGTTTAGACTAACCTAATATAATGAGCAAAACACTAGAATGAGCATAACACAGACACATATATATATGCCGGAAAAATCAGGTAGAGTCCGGTGACCTACCGGCCGGTGTAGGAGTTGAGGCTAAGTTCAAGGGAAGTACGAGAACTGCCCTTGCCTTCATTAGACAGATACCAGCTGGCATTGTGATAGATGTCAGATTCCGGCTTGATGTTGAATCCGTGCATGGGAAAGAGAGGTAGAGTTTCAATCTCAGGGGGTTGGTCTTCTTGTTCCTCTTCTAGGGTTTCATCAACATATTTTCTCTGGTCCAAGAAAGGGTAGGATGTAGAATATGAATCAACACCAACCCATCCAAAATTGTGGCCTATTGATCCACCACCAGCACAACCACCTCTTGATATTGAACAATCCTGGTTGAAAGAAACAACAAAAAGTTCAGACTTTAATATGTGTGTAAGTGTGTGTGTGTGAAGTTTGAGAGAAAAAATTTATACCTTTATTCCCAAAAACTTGTTTTTGTTATTAACTTCAATATATATTTAATGCAAGTGTATAGAGAGGCTAGCTAGAACAGTGAAGGATATGTAGCCTAAAGTACATAGGTAATAAATGGAACTAGGACTAGAAGATGAACAGCAAATAGGCTTAAAACACTTTTCTTTTTCCAATAAAGTTTGTTTCTCACTAATTAGAACAGCAAAGGATATGTTAGTCTTTTTTTTTTTGTGGGGCCAATGTAAGACATTAAGGCAAAGATATAGCCAAAACAAGGTTATGTCTATTTCATCAACAAATTCATCACATGAACTTAAGATATAGCCAAAACAAGGTTATGTCTATTTCATCAACAAATTCATCACATGAACTTTTTTGCTTTATTAAGGAACAAACCTCTCTTTAGTCATTGTAATTAACTTACCCTAAAACTCCTCTCCATGGTTGCAGATCCATACCCATAGCCTCCCATTTTCCCAGCAGCAATCACACTTGATGAAGAAGAACAAGATGGGGATGGCACCCCTGCACTCATAGATACAACATATAACTCTCAAACTCCTTTTAAAACATATATATAACTCTTTTCTCTTATTTTTTGATAAAAGGGTAAGTAGTATATTGGCTGAAAAAACACCTCTCTCTCTCTCTCTCTCTCTCTCTCTCTCTCTCTCTCTCTCTGTCTCTCTCTCTCTCTCTCTCTCTCTCTCTCTCACACACACACACACACACACAAGATATAACTCTCAAACTCCAGGGTAAGTAGTATATTGATTGAAAAAACATCTCTCTCTCTCTCACGCGCGCGCACACACACACAAAACACACACAAACAAGAAAACACAGATACATGTATACATTCACAAAGCATTATGGAGAGAAATAGGAAAAAGGAAACTAAGAAAGAAAAAATAAGAGTAATGGGTTGTTTTGAGATTTTGAGATAGATACTTAACCTGGAGGAGTAGTAGTGATGTTGGGGTACTTGTTGTAAAGGGGGTCATGATGATCAGATCTCCAACCACAACCAGTACTACTACTTTTTGGTTGCATGGAGATCATACGATCAGTGGTGAACCTTTTCTTCTGCCTCTCGCGAGCTTTATGGTTCTGAAACCAGTAAAACACATTCTTTCCTTCAATCTTACCATACTGTCTCAACCTAGCTGAGATCCTCTGAATCTGCTCAGCACTTGGTGACCTAACTCCATTGTTGTAGTAAAGCTCCTTCAGTACTCTTATCTGCTCAGTGGTTGGTGTCCACCTTGTACCACTCTGCCTGCACAAGAAACTGTTTTTGTTCCCCCCTTCATCTTGATCATTTTGTTGCTGTTGTTGTTGAGGCTCCATGGAGGGGGAGAGAGAGAGAGAGAATGGTGAAATGGGAAGAATGGGATGGGATATAAAAGGAGGGGAGAGGAAGGCACATGTGAGAGGAGAATAAAGAGATCATATCAGAGAGATATCTGGTAGAGAAGGACTGAAGTTTACAGTGATAGGTTAATAAAAAGTAAGGGACAAAAGAGGGAATGGAAAGGGAAGGGACAGAGGGGTTGCTTGGAGGAAAAGGCATGACAAAGGTATGATTAAGAGTGAGAAAGAAAGAAAGAAGGGTGGGACTGAAATATAGATAATGAGGGCTGATATCATATATATATATATATATATATATATATTGAATAGAAACAAAGAGGAGAGCTTCTGAATGAATGAATCTTCATGAGGGTTCACCTTTTATTGGAGATATTGTCTTCCAAAAGCTAGCTTGACTGCAAGGTATTATTTTTGTTCTTATCTAAGGGTTTCATGGGCAAAACTGTAATGAACTGAGAAATTCTTCCTTCTGTAGGTACAAATTACCTTGGGGAGAGAGATGTTCCATGCCCATAGATGGGAAAGGGTTTTAAAGTGGGGTTCTATTTTATTGTTATTAGTATTATTTTTAAGGTGGGGTTCTATTTTATTGTTATTAGTATTATTATTATTATTATTATTCAGTTTTTAACCCTGACATAAAACGCGCACACCTACTTTTTTTCCAAAACTTGTAAATCTTTCATTTAACGTGATCAGATCACATGCAACACAACATAGCATTCGATGATTCACTAGCCAACACGCGTGAGGGCATGCACGGACCTAGCATAGGATTAGTGGGGGCACCCCCACTGGATTTTGTATATATATTTCCATTTTAGATTTTAATTTTTTTAAAATTTATGAAGATGTCCTCACTAAAATTACAATTCACCCCTCACTAAATTCTTCTTCTTTTTATTTTATTTTATTTATATATATATATTTTAAAATTTTGAGAATTTATTAAGATATTCCCACTAAAATTACAATTTTCCTTACTGAATTATTTATTCTTGCATTTTATACTTTAAATTTTAAAATTTTGTTAAGGAAAACCCATTGAAATTATAAAAAAATGAATTTACCATATAAGTTTACCCCACAAATTAAAAGATCGCCCCCTCTCACAAAATTTTCTGGATCTGTAACTACGTGAGGGTGCAAGCAAATGCATGTGTAAGTTTGTGCACCCTCAAATGTAGTAAATAGAGGATCTGACCTCTTCATTTAAAACACTACCATTTTTTAGTAAGTGAAGTTCACCTTACACTTAACTGTGCGTGCACAACAACATAGTATTTGAAGGTTCACAGGCCAACACACGTGAGCATGCAAATGTGTAGACTTGTGCATCTTGAGATGTAGTACAACAGATGATCCGAACTCTTCATTAAATACATTATCATTTTCTGATAAGTGAAGTTGTACCTTACACTTTACATGCATATCACGTGCAGTTCAACGTAGCATCTGAGGATTCACGAGCCAATACATGTGAGTATGCAAATATGTGTAGGCTTGTGCACCCTCCGATGTAGTACAACGGAGGATCTGAACTCTTCATTTAATACGTCACAATTTTTGGTAAAATAATTAATTGTATTTTACAATTAATTATTTTAACCTTTTTATCAGTCTATGGTCATTCTCCTTCTCTTTATATTTATTCCTTCTGTTAGGTCATACTTAGGGAACTGCTGGCTTCTTTTGTATGCAATTAAATGTTCTGGAAAGTACACATTCAGAATTAATAATCTTCCTCTATTTCTTGTGTATAGTTGCAGCAGGCTTGTAGCAGCCCCTCTCCCTATTCAATTTATTTTCATTTATCACTTTTTTTCTTTTTTAAATCTATACTTTAGAAAGATCAAGTTAATCAAGCAGTGAAGAATGATCTTTGATTCAGTAAGCATATTTGATTACACACACATGTATATACATAGATTGAGGTTATATAGAAAAGAAAATGATATTCACACTACAAAAAAAGCCTCTACGTACTCTCCTTTTCCTTTGATCTTTAAATTCAAAAAATAGTGTGTCAAACGTGATTGGAGAAAAAGGAAATGAATATTATAAATAAATAATGATATTAATACCAATACATACCATATTCAAATTTTGTTCAAAATTGTCAAACCTAACAAGTTCCAATCAAAGAGTACACATGTATTTCGTAGTAGACTATGAAAAGGTGAGATCACCATTTGATCGAATCGAAGAGCATATCATATCATATTTAATGAATCAACCTCCTCTTCAAGACACCAGTATTCCGTAACACTGTCATCATATGTATACATTGCGGGGACTTAACTCCATGTTTGATTTAGGGCAAGTACATGGACAAGGAGTACAGTAAAACCAGTAGAGATGCACTATATATATATATATATATATAGTAGAAGGTCACTGTTATGATGTCCGAAGTCGTTTGTACTACAAAGCATTTAGTTAGTAGTAGGGGAACAATTCATAGGAGGCTATTGGGGCTCATTTTCTTGGTTCCAATTCAAAGATCATCAAAAGTTCCCATTATTTTCTCGTGCTTTCCCACGCCGCTTTCCGCCTCCCAAACACCTCCCCTCTCCCTCCGTCCATCAAGACTCCACATAGCCTTCTTATTAGTCTCCAATCTTAATAATGAGATGGCTGTACTTCACTTTTAAGCTAGGAAAAGGCTAGTGAGCATCCCCAAAATTGGGGCATGTGGAGCACATTCCATCAAATATTGGTAGATTTCTTTCCCCTTTGTGACGAACAGCACACTCGCATGTTTTGGAGAAAAATTTATATGATCGTAACTATTCAGATCATATAGTCTCAGACCATGAAATTATTTTTCTATTTCATTACTATTTTGTACTATAACCTCTTATAAGGACTATTAGCCTAATGAATAAACCTCTCTTTCCCTAGAGCTGGAGGTTGAGAGTACTTACATAATCGGAGAAAAAAATAATAATAATAAATTAAATTATATTAAATTAAAATTAAAATTAAAAAAAAAAAAAGAAGACAAAATTATGACACAATTGCTCTATGTCGGAGGCAACATTTATATATACATAGACAACAAACATTTTGGTCGTCTAAATTTTGAGATTTGGTTTGGCAAGGAATGGTCAATTAGTTATTTGGAGTAATGGAAATCAATGGATTACAATAAACATTGAAAAACTAAGAAATAAAAAAAGAGTCAATGAATATAGAACTATTGCTCAATTGGCCTTGATTTTTGAGAAAATTTGAGACTAGAAGATTGATTTTTTTTTTTTTAAAGAAAAAAAGAAGAGGAAATTACACAAACTACCCCTCACCTTTGTTATCTTGTGCGTGTATATAGAAGGTGGTACAATACAGTGATCAACTACCATTGTGGTTTCATGGACCTTACACACAAACCTTCATTAATTGTGAGCTGAGCATAAAATTAGTTTGGAATAATTTCTTTTGACAGAACTAACCTTCTTGTTGTGAAAAGACCAAATTATCCATTTATGTTAACTGAATTACGTCTTCCCCCTAACAAAAGTACCCTTCTTCTATTTGGCTCATCTGACTTTGAATATCAATACACCCCCCCCCCCCCCCCCCCCCCCCCGCGGGCGTCTCTCATTACCGAACATTGCTCTCTCTCTCCTTCCAGAACTTATCTCTCTAATTTAATTTATTCATCAAGAAGAATGGATTGTTACTAAATCACATATATGTATATATAATTGAAGGCTTACAAGGTCCTTGAGTGAAAGTGTTGCAAACCAGAGTCTAGGGTGTGAGTGACCCAAAATTGAAAACCCAGGTCACCAGAAAGTGGCAAAATAACAGATACTCAAAATAAAAAATGGCAATAAATGCCTCTGCTGCTTTGTATGTGTGTGTATATAGGCGTGTGTGTATTTAGGCAAGTGAGTACACTATTTAGCCCGACAAATAAAAACCTACTATTTCACGAGTCTATATGGTTATTTATGTGTCAAGTATAATGAAACCCATTATAAAATACAAGGTAATTAAGTATCTAGAAAGTTATAAGTCATTTTTTAGGTTTAATCTTAATATAGTATCTTTGTTGCTTATTAAAATTTTAATCACCGTGTATATAAAATTGTATATGTGTTATATATATATATATATATATATATATATATATATATATATATATATATATCACATTGGATCTCAACGCATAGATACTTAAGATTGCATCTCCTATAATTAGATTGACATTTGTTCATTGATGTAATGATCAAAACAAATGATCTATGTGACTCCAGAAACAAAAATAAAGAGAGGAATTTAAAGAAAAATTGCAAAGTATTGAAAAATTGAAAAATATTACAGTTTTTGTTTTATTTTTGTACCAATCAAATTTTCTATTTGAGTACCATGAAAATACAGTGAAAACAAAAAAGAAGATGATACGGTTATGGAAAACTGAAAAGATAAGGAAATGAGTTATGAAAATATGAGTAGATAAATAAACTAAAATTGACGTATTTTATGGAAACAAATAAGAGTAGTAATGATACTTATTTAAGTTAGAAATTTTATAATAACACGTTATATTTTTACCTCGTCGATTTTAAGTCGGCGTGTTAAAGTCGTCAAGGTATATTATATATGAATTTTCAAATCTTTTTAAGGTTAACAGAGTTGTTTGAATTCGGCAGATAGATAGTTATATATGTGTGTGTGATTCTCATAGTTATATGTATTTATATATATATATATATATATATATATATGTAATATGTATATACATGTAAGAGGAAAGAAAGTGAAGGAATCCCAGCTGGAGTGTTTTAGAAGAAGGGGATAGTTTAATTTTAAGGACAAAAATATAAATTCATACAAATCACAAACAATTAATTTGGTCATTTCTGTTATATTGTGGCATCTTTTATATACATGCATGAGATGAAAAGATGAGGGGTACTTTCTCGTACACCAAAATTGAGTAATCGCTTTTATTTTTGGAATTGTATATACTATTTCTATTTTTGAAAATTATATATTCGATTTTGATTATCGCTTTTATTTTTTGAATTGTATATACTATTTCTATTTTTGGAAATTATATATTCGATTTTGAAAGTATTTGTCACTTTATTTTTGGAATTGTATATACTATTTCCATTTTTGGAAATTATATATTTCATTTTGAAAGTATTTCTTGTTTATTTACTCTTACCTTTTATATAGACATCTTATCTCACAAA